AAATTAAAACCAAACTAGTTTTTTTTTTAAATATCTAATACTTTGTCTCCATTGAGAGATTTATCCATTTAGATTTAATAAATCCAGTTGCCAAATCACAACCGTCTCCATTACTACAACGAGATATGTTTGACGTTCACATTTTTAAATATTTGACGTTTGCTTATGTATTATTTTATAAATACAATTGCGGACATTGATATACAGACAGATAAAAGGAAGGTACCAAACGGAATTTCATTATATGAATTCTGAATATTATTGGCTTCTTATTCGTGGTAAATATGTATGTATAATATATAGTCTGGAAAGTGTAAAGAATGGTACCATATTCCGAATCATTTTGCCGAGTTTAAGAAAAATTATCAAACGGTGAAAAACATTTGCGGAAAGAAAAATGTTTGTAGAACTCTCTTATTCATAGGAGGGAACCGAAAATCCAATCGTGGGCCTTTAGCATATCATGAATACGAACTGAGTTCTAGAGGTGCAATGTTATCGAAGCAGAACCATTACCGAAATTTATAAATTTTAAATGTCATTTGATTTATGGCATGTGAATTTGTGGTTGCCACATCCAACAAATTGTACTTATTGATCAATATTATTGAAGATTTGACGAAGATTTAACTTAAATCTACTGCCTTTCGAGATTTAATTTTATATGGTAAATCTCAAAAGATTTAACGTCAAATCTCGTCAGAGGGCTAAATCTTCATTAAATCTCACTACGGAGACATAGTATAAGAAAGTTATTGGTAAATATTTTAGGGATTTGGTAGATTTTTTTCATGTGCATGGTAAGCATTTTTCCTTCAGTGGCAACCCTGCTGGAGAATCTGAAATGATAAGATGGAGAGCGGGTTTCGGTCGGTTACGTGGCGAATGGCTTCAGGTCCTGCAGGTGCGCGTCGGCCCGCTCGGGGTTTACGAGTTTCACCGTGTTGGTCGAGGTGTACTTGGTGATTGTATATGGGCCTGAGAATTTCGGCGCGAGCTTCTGTGCGTAGTTGCCGGCAGCAGAGAGGGTGATCTCGCTTCATGACCTTCTCTCCTACTCTAGGTTTTCCCGGCCGCCTGCGTAGGTGGTAATACTGTTTCTGCTGTTTGGCCGCAGCGGTGAGGTGCCCCTTGATCTCTGCCCATAACTCGGTGATGGCTGAATGTGCTGTGGGGTGTTCTTCAGGTAATGTCCCTTCGGAGCGTATCTGCCAAGCCGCCACTGGATTGCGCCGGAAGTTGATCTCCGCGGCGGAGGCTTGTGTTGATTTGAGTTGAGCCGTATTTATGGCGAAGGCGTTTTGGGGGAGCTCCTGATCCGAGGTGCGATGATCTGTTCTCAAGCGCTGTTCTATCACAGTTTTAACTACCCGATTGGTTCGGTCGATCGGGTTTTCGTAAGGGGCGTAGGCTGCGGTGAATTTATGCTCGGTGCGGTGTACGCTGAGGAATGCCGCTAGCGCTTTTCCCACGAATTCCTTCCCGTTGTTGCTGAGAAAGATTGCTGGGCAGCCGAACCGGTAAATGATTCTCTCCTGGAGCGCTTTAATGACGTTTGCGGCGATGGCTTGGCGCACGGGGATTAACTCAACCCATTTAGAGAATTTATAGACCAGGGCGAGGAGGCAAGTGTTCCCTTGTTTCGAGCGTGGAAGCGGTCCGACGAAGTCGGCCGTGACGATTTCCCATGGCCGCGAACACTCTATGGTGGCCATCAATCCTGCTGGCTGTTTTAGTTCCACCTTGTACTCGGTGCAGGACAGGCCCTTCGTACGTGCTTGAGCACGTCGCGGTACATCCCGGACCAGTAGTAGTTCTGCTGTGATCGTTTGAGTTTTCTTGTCGCCTAGATGGCCGGCTGCTGCGGCGTTATGCACTCCTTGCAGGATGACTGGTCTGCGACTAGTGGGGATGCAGAGCTTCCAGTGAGGCGCGCGGGAGAGCCTTTTGCGCGGCACGATGGGGCGGAACAGTTTATTGTCAATGATTTGGCAGTCCGGGTTGCGTCTGAGCTGTTGTTGTACTGTCCTCAGCTTTTTCTCGTACCAATCGATGGTGCTGGTTTCCACGGTGTGGAGCGTGTCTGTTCCATCAGCGGTTGTTGCTAGTGGGCATGGCGAGACTGAGTCCCATACTATGTTCAGCGCTCCCTTCCGATATGCGATGTCAAAATTATACTGTTGGAGTTCGAGCGCCCGTCTCGCCAGTCGTCCTGATGGGTTCTGCAGCGAGTGTAGCCACTTCAGTGAGTGGTGGTCGGTGATTACTGTGAAGTGGTATCCTTCCAGGTGCAGTCTCATCTTGCGGATTCCCCATAGCGGGACGAGGCACTCTTGTTCGGTGGCTGAATAATGTTTTAGGTCGTTTAGGCTTCGGCTGGCGTACGCTACGACTCTCCGCGGTCGGGGTGACGTTGAAACGGGACCACTCCGAGCCATTCCCCGCTGGCGTCGGTTTGGAGGGAGAAGGGGCGGTTAAAGTCGGGGCAGGAGAGTATTGGCGCGCTCGTGACCTTCTCTTTTAATGCAAGAAATGCGTTTGCTTGTGGTGCGTCCCATACCTAAGTCTGGCCTTTCTTCAGCAGTTGGTTGAGTGATGCTGCAAGCGTGGAGAAGTCGGCGACGGTACCATGATGCAAGGCCGAGGAATCGACGAATCGTTGCCGGATTTTCCTATTTTCTAGGTGTTGACGTATGGTCTCGTCGATGTAGGTGAGCATTGCGCCGGTGTCCAATAGTGCTCGCACGTTCACATCGATATAGTAGCGACCATCTACTTGTCCTCCTTGTTGGGTGTTAGTGTCCACAGGGGCGACGGCATACGGGCAGCTTAACGGTGGTAGTGTTGCACGGACAATCTCGGCCGCAATCGGACAATGTCTGCCATTTCTCCCCTTCTCGTCTTTCAGAAGCTCAAATTCGGCGGTGAGATCCATCAGCTCCTCGGCCGTTTCAAACTCCCCTCGCTTGACGAAGAAGCGATACTCCACGCGTAGGCCATCGCAGATGCGTTCCAGGTGATCCTCTCCGCACATAGTCGGGTGTTGGCATATAAGCGTTGGTAGTGCCAAGATATAATCTTTGGCCTTCTCGTGGCTTTGTTGGCGTCGATTCCGGATGGCTCATATGTCGCCTTGGGAGGGAGAACCGCTCTACTTCTGAGCGGAATGCAGCCCAGGAATGTATCTGTGGCTTTCACACGCGGAACTATTGGAGGGCCTTCCCGCGTAACACTTCAGGCAGGGTTGCGGTGAGGTTGTCCAGTGGGATGCGATAGCATTCGGCTAGCTCTTCGATCCTCTCCAGGAAGTCGTGTAGCGCGTCACCTCCCGAAAAGTGTACGTCCCATCGGCGAACGGTATTCATTAGCCCGGCGTCGCTGATCTCATTATGCTTTGCTGTTGTATGCTTCATTTTCCCTGGCTGTGGACTAGAGTTGTTGATCCGGACGGTGGGAATGGTGCTAGGTTGCAGCTTTACTGGCCTCTCCTCTTCTGCTTTAATCTCCTCTTTCAAGTCTCTCAATAGATCCTCTGTTGATTTGCGGTATCACTTCGCTTTCACATATGCGCAAAGCGCGTTGCTCAGGTCGGCGACTGTGTATCCCTCTACGAAGATTCGGTGCCGCTTGCACTCCTCTATTAACTTCTCCTTCTTTAGCAGGTAGATCCAGCTGAGGGAGTGGACGTATTGGGGTCACTCTCGCTGGCGCGTGTGTTATCAGTTGGTTGTGGTTTGTTCGGCGTGCCCGCTTCCGCAGTGTTGGTGCTTGTTAAATTTTTTGCACATGCGCCCGCAGAGGAGGGATTTGTCGAAGGCTGAGGTGAGCTCAGCCGATCCAGAATGGTCCCACTAACCCCCACCAAAAAAAAAACACACTATTTTCGTGTGTTTAGTTCGAACACACACACACACACGGCGCTGTGACTACAGTTCCAGCAACCTTATCCAAACAGAGGGAGGGAGAGAGATGACGTTCGTTATTGTCGTGCGGTCAGGTGGGAGCGGATGACGACGAGAGTGCTACGGCGGACGGCTCTCAGTAGTGGTGAAGCAACGGCTGGGCAACGGTGAGGGCGCTAGCAGCACGGCGGTTCATTCTCAGCAACTGTTGACCAGCGGTGGCGGCTTGAAGTTTGGAATGCAATTTCTCAAAAATGCGAAGATATATTTTCTCCAAAGCGGCGGCAACACGGCGGTTTAATCTCAGCATCGGGGACCAGCGGCGGCGACGCGGCGGGTGATTCTTAGCAACTGTTGAGCAGCGGTGGCGGCTTGAAGTTTGGAATGCAATTTCTCAAAAATGCGAAGATATATTTTCTCCAAAGTCTCTGAAAATGTTACTAGTTCAAAAAATTATTAAATTATTTAATTTTTATATGAAATACGACAAAAAGTGATCAAAATTTCTACCAAAAATTTTTATGTTATTGATTAATTTAATATGACTGCATCACTAACAAAATTTTTACTAAATTATCGAAAAAGTTGTAGTCATTGTCTCGGAAACTAAAGGAGATATCTAAAAACTGATAACACCAATCGAAAGACCTTATTTCAAAATATATAACTGCATCTACAAACAAAAATCGTAAAAATGGCGCTTACGACAATCTTTTACCCAGGCGACGATATGTGCATCGCTGCGTATGTACGGTGGTGTATGTATGTACGGTAGAGTGTTCTGTGTTGTCGGTAGCTTCATGGTGCTGCGTAGTTTAAAACCGGTTATGGTTCCGTAGATATAGTTGATAAAAAATTCCACGCCTATGGGATGAGCAACGCCCCCTTTTGCAAACTCGTTGTCTGCATACCAAATTTCAAGTTCGTGTGACTTATGGTTGCGAAGTTATAGCTGATAAAAAATTCTACGCCTATGGGATGTGCCACGCTCCCTTTTACAAACTCGATTATATATACCCGCCTATAAGCATTTACCATTGACATGTCTGCATACCAAGTTTCAAGTTTATATGACTTATTGTCTTTTAAAAAACTTACTTTGCGTTAGTTTAACCCACTTCCGGTCGAAAAATATAGAGCATCCTCGCCTTGGTGGTTAATATTCTTGCGTTGCAATAAAAAAACATTTTCCCATATTTTAGAAGGTGTGACGGGTGGTCCAGGACACCCTGTTTGGTACTATTGAAATTAAATACTTTGAGTTTATAAGACATATTATTTAATAGCATTATTTTTAGATATTTACGTAGTTTGTATTTTTATTTGCATAAGCTTTATGAGTAATGCTGGTAATCGTTTTTATATCATAATTATTATATTGAACTTACTTTATAGTGATATACACATATCTCATAATTTTAAAGTACATTGCGCTCAGAATTCTCACACAATATTTTTTGTTGTTTGCTTAGAATGGATGAAGTCTTATATATATAACAAAATGTGCATGTATTTATATGATTTAGCATAATAATTATTGCTGTTAAAAAGTTGCAAATGCCTCCGCTTGTGTGGATTGCAACTAGACATTTTCCATTTTAACATTTCATCAATTCAGTTTCACATTTCAAATAAGAAAGACTAAGGGCCGTAGGTTTTAAAATTTATCTGCCCTGTAACACACATTTTGTTCTGAAAAAATGTATTAGAAGGGAAGATAATATTTAAAAGCTACTTGAGAAAACGGCACTAAGAGTAATTGCATGGTTAAAATGTAATTTTATATAAATAATTGTTAATGGAAAATATGATAGAATCAGGGGGCTACTCTGTAATGCAATACGAAAGGCAAATACATCGTAGGTAATACGCAGTGGCGATTGCCTATTGCATCGCATTTCTCTTGCGTTCAGATTATCTCCCCATAAATTAAATACAATATAAAATATACAAAGTTATGAAATATTAAAACAACCAAATACATGCTACACTTATGAACTAACGTGTATAAAATAAAAATAAAATAGAAAAAGGAACAGTTGAAACTCTTAAATTAAAGCAATCGAGTTTTAAGTAAAAATACAGATCTATGAGGGAATGCGAACTATTCAGTTTCCAAACTGTAAATTAAATAATTTTAACATACCATTAAAAAATAATTAAAAAATATTAATAATTGAATTAGCGCTAAGCCTATTTATCTTAAAGTAGTAATTTTTTAGGGCGCTCTGGTGCTCTTATATAAATAACGCACGTCCAAATCGAAGCGCTACATTTATCTTAAAAACTAAACTAAAAACTGTTGAAATACATATAGAAACGAAGTGAGCTGAAGAAAGTTTTCAACTTATCTCACTCTTCCATTTTGTTTTGTTTGCTGCCCATTTGCTGTTCATGCGTAATTATGCTCCTTTTAAGCCACATATATAAATGTATTGATATCATCATCATCACGGCGCATGTACTTGTGCTCGATCAGCCATTCTAATTGCTCCTTAATCATTTTCTTCGATGGCAAGAACATATTTTTAAGTATATCAATTAATTCAGCTTGCAAAGTTGCATTATTCAAACGCTTGCGCATTTTCATGATTTTAATAATGGCCTCTTGGGTGCGCAGAATACGCAGCTGAACAATCGATTGATTGTCTTCCTGCTGAGAACGTTCGGTACTTAGTTGCAAGCGGCCAATTAAATTCATCTGTAAAGAAGGACGATCGTACATAACTTAAAGCAAGATATAATAGGAATTTTCCCTTTTCTACGCACTTTGCCTCTTCGCTGAGATTTGCCATTTTTAACTACAGCAAAATCCTGATTTATACTAAATAAAGTATTCTCTGAAAAGTCTTTTGGCGTTGTCATTGTTGGGGGTTCCATTAGTAAAATTTGTTTTTTCACCTTTGGAAACGCCACTAGTGACCAAAGCGTGCGTCTGAGCTCGGGATCTATTGGGGGAAAGTGATTGTGAGATTTAAAAAATGAATGGAAGGAAGCTAACGTAAACTTCCTTTTTTTTTTTAATCTAAATATTTCTACATTTACCAATAGTGTGTATGTATACATACTAACCAGGCAACTCTGTCGCTAAACGCAAGTTCTCGTAGGATATTTTATCATGTGGCCGTTGATTCCAAGCAAAGAGCACAGCCATTTGAAATGTGGTCACATCCAAGTCGTATCGACCGAAGTTATTTACAAAAGTTATTGTACCATTACTCATGTGATGATACCATTGCAATTTGCGACCGCAGAAGTTTTTCTTATAAAACTCCTCCACATCTGGAATGTAGTCCTCCAATTCGAGCGGTAAGCTCACCGAAACACGTTCGGAACAACGAGCCCAAGCCCCTGCATTAAGTATCTTTATATTAATGGCATCATGACGACCCGTACAGTTACGGAATTGAGTATTTAAATCTTCGCTGAGCTAGAAAAGAAATTGGTACAGATTTAAATACCTACTCTTTCAGTCCCTTTTTGATCCTATGACGAGTGCTTACTTTAATATCCTGGAACATACGCCCTAAGCGATTCACATAATCGGCTGGCATTCCAGCCTCGCGTAACCATTCAACAATATCCTCTTCCTTTTCACTATCAGCACTCGTGCTAAGTATTAGTCTGAAAAGTAAATTTTCTTTGTGCACATACATATGTATATCTAATAATAATTACAACGCTAACCTTCTAGTTAAATGAACTTTGTGATAGCGCATGAAAACATCCTTATTGTTGACATATTTCAAAACCAATAGCACATCCCGCAATCGTGCGTCGATTTGTTCGCTAGTAAGCTTCTTACTTAACGGCGTTCGACGTAGCAACATGTCACAATAGTTGGCTAAAAGTTCAGGACACTTGCTCTCCGGAGCGATGGACTTGACGCCGCGGTTTGTTAGGCCGGTGGGCAGCTCAAGCTGTAAGCCATATAAAACGAACAATAACACACAAAACATGTAAATTCAAACATGAAATTCACCTTAAATACACTAGTATCATTGACAACAGTCTTGAAAGCCTTGTCACGTGCCGTCAAAAAGCGCGGATCATCGTTGAAGGCGTACTTAACCAATGAACTGAACTTATTGAACAACTCGAGCAGCCGCTCTACATACTTTTCTGAGTCTTGTGTAATTATATCAGATGCAGATAGCATATCAGCTAGACCTGCTGTAACAATGTGGCATTCCAAGTCGCGTAACATTGGTTCAACCCCATCCTGCACACGATCCAACAGACGGAACATAAGGTTTAACTTTTCTGTTTCGTATTCTTTTATGAGCGCTGCACATTCGGCGATGATGGTATTCATATGATCCCCGACCAACACCTTGACGCAAGTCTGTGCCAGTACACCATAACTGCTCGGTTCAAGATAGCGTTTCGCACGTGCCTCTTCCTCACGCAATTTGGCGTCCGCATATCTCATAAAGGCTAATACACCGTTTGCTTGCTGTTGTTCTGTTGTTTTGAGGCGATAGAATGCCGTCGTGGCTTTTAAGTAAGCCGCCTCAAAGTTTTCCCGATAGATTTGTAATTTGTCATCTGGGTTCGAACACAAATTCACGTAGCTCTCTCGTACTCCAATAACAAGTTGAGCATCGTAGGCATCACCATTTCGTTCGGCATGTACAATTTTCATGGCAGATTCCTGTAGGCGATCTTTTATATCACGGAAGATATTTTCATTCCACGAGTCTAGCATTAATTTGCGAACGATTGAATCGTCAGTGGGATTCTTTTTGCTGCTATTGTTGCCACCCGACGTGGAAGATGACGACGCTGCAGCGGCAGCGGCAGATGTTGATGGGCCGGCTGCCGCTGAAATTGACGCAGCATTAGCACTTGTGCTGGCTGCAGAGGAACTAGATGCTGATGTTGACGTAGAAGATGTGGGTACTTTGAACTGGAGCGATTGCTCTAATTGACGAAAAGGCAACGGAAGGTAGTTGGATTGTGTGAAGAATTTGCGCCACTCTATAATGTAAGTCGTAAGTAGCGCGTGCTCGCCGCGTTGTGATTGCACTTTACGTTGAGCGTGTACTACAAATTCCACAATATCCGCGCGCAGGCAGTCGTAAATTTTTGCGGCACCTTTCTCATCCCATAGGCACACTAAATGTACGCCGTAAAACAATTCTTGCCATTCTAATTGTGACACAGTTTCCTGGTTCAATAGCTTTAAAACTATAAGTCGTTTTTCCGGCCATACTTCCTCAAAGGAGCGGAGTCCTTTGCCTTGTCCAGTAGAAACCTATTGAGAAGAAAAGGAATAATGGCACATTGCGAATTAGTAATTAGATTTGTAGACACTGCGACGTACTTACTACTTACTTTTAACATTGTATTGCTCTTGATATGCACTTTATTTTATCCTACCATCTATTTAATGCTCAAATTTAATGCAAATTTTGACAAAATTGAAGGAAACTCTGCTAATCAGAAACAATGAATGTCAGACCAGGGATAGATCACAAAACTTCCACTGGAATGCACTACCGGACGTCACTGGAATGCACTACCGGAAGTATAGGGTGATAATTGCAAATGCATTTGACAATTCATAGATTTCGCGACATCTATTGGTTAATAGGAAGCCTGTCAACAGCTGACTTTCTAATTGGTCCAACGTACTCAGCTGTCCAGTAAGATGAATGTTACCCCCCGTCTCCACTTTCTACAAAATGTGTCTTAACACCTGTCAAATTTCCGATTTAACTTTGTCCCGTATGCCTGAACGGCATGTAGTTTTACATGTGACACATAAAAAAAAAACATTTTTTAAAATTGTTCTTAAAGAAGAATTGCAAAATATGGTAATTTTTCAACTTTTGGTTGGTTTTGTCAAAGAACGTAAATGTTTGTTTGGTTTTGTGAGGGCATTTAAGTAGAAAAAAAATTGTGATGCGGCATCACAGGTCAACTGCTCAGCGCATACGTCCGCTAAACACATCTCGTTTGTTGTAGAATGTCATGTGCCAGGTATTTATAGGGACATTCACATACAACTTTCCTCGCCTTGCTTAACAGTTCAAACTTTGACAACAAAGCGTGAAACGCAGAAGGTGTGCTACAATAAACGCTTTGACAGCTTTTGCGTTCTATTTTTTCTCCATATTTTTTTTATCTGTAAAATAGATAACAATATAATAATATGCATTAATAACNATTGTGACACAGTTTCCTGGTTCAATAGCTTTAAAACTATAAGTCGTTTTTCCGGCCATACTTCCTCAAAGGAGCGGAGTCCTTTGCCTTGTCCAGTAGAAACCTATTGAGAAGAAAAGGAATAATGGCACATTGCGAATTAGTAATTAGATTTGTAGACACTGCGACGTACTTACTACTTACTTTTAACATTGTATTGCTCTTGATATGCACTTTATTTTATCCTACCATCTATTTAATGCTCAAATTTAATGCAAATTTTGACAAAATTGAAGGAAACTCTGCTAATCAGAAACAATGAATGTCAGACCAGGGATAGATCACAAAACTTCCACTGGAATGCACTACCGGACGTCACTGGAATGCACTACCGGAAGTATAGGGTGATAATTGCAAATGCATTTGACAATTCATAGATTTCGCGACATCTATTGGTTAATAGGAAGCCTGTCAACAGCTGACTTTCTAATTGGTCCAACGTACTCAGCTGTCCAGTAAGATGAATGTTACCCCCCGTCTCCACTTTCTACAAAATGTGTCTTAACACCTGTCAAATTTCCGATTTAACTTTGTCCCGTATGCCTGAACGGCATGTAGTTTTACATGTGACACATAAAAAAAAAACATTTTTTAAAATTGTTCTTAAAGAAGAATTGCAAAATATGGTAATTTTTCAACTTTTGGTTGGTTTTGTCAAAGAACGTAAATGTTTGTTTGGTTTTGTGAGGGCATTTAAGTAGAAAAAAAATTGTGATGCGGCATCACAGGTCAACTGCTCAGCGCATACGTCCGCTAAACACATCTCGTTTGTTGTAGAATGTCATGTGCCAGGTATTTATAGGGACATTCACATAAGACTTTCCTCGCCTTGCTTAACAGTTCAAACTTTGACAACAAAGCGTGAAACGCAGAAGGTGTGCTACAATAAACGCTTTGACAGCTTTTGCGTTCTATTTTTTCTCCATATTTTTTTTATCTGTAAAATAGATAACAATATAATAATATGCATTAATAACAGCAATAATAATTCCTATTTAGCCTATTTTTGTCATTAAATGCAAATGCAAGCGCACGAGGAAAGATACATGTAGACAGCTGATTGCCAAAGCGGACAAAAGTTGACAGTTGCCAAGATTTTGCTTCGTTTTGCTTTGCTTTGCTTCAAACGTTTTTTATGTGAGCATACTCATGCATATGCCTACATCGATCTTATATGTCAAAGCAAAGAACTATCAAGCAAAGCGAAGAAAGTTGTATGTGAATCAGCCTTATGAATTATATAGGTGTCCCTCTTTGGGTCTGCTATCTATACTTAAGCTGATGCCAGATAAAACGCTTGCTTCGCTTTACGTGACAGATTCGNGCTTTGCTTCAAACGTTTTTTATGTGAGCATACTCATGCATATGCCTACATCGATCTTATATGTCAAAGCAAATAACTATCAAGCAAAGCGAAGAAAGTTGTATGTGAATCAGCCTTATGAATTATATAGGTGTCCCTGTTGTTGTTGTTGTTGTAGCAGCATACAAATTCCCCAGACTTTTTGGGGAGTGTTGCTGGAGTGACAGTCCTTGGCCAGATATAAATCTGGGTCGTTCCGGTTACGTAGACCCGACTGTCGTGNTGTTGTTGTTGTAACAGCATACAAATTCCCCAAAGAGATTTTGGGGAGTGTTGCTGGAGTGACAGTCCTTGGCCAGATATAAATCTGGGTCGTTCCGGTTACGTAGACCCGACTGTCGTGGGAATATGAGCGTACATAAAATATAGGTGTCCCTCTTTGGGTCTGCTATCTATACTTAGGGTTCGAAATTTCAGACTTTGGTATCGATACTGAGTACTCATTCCAGCATCGAGCTCATGGTATCGATACTCTAAAAGTATCAGGGAAAAAGTATCGATACTACTCAGTATCGGATTCATTAAAATACGTTTTTTGGGATACTAAAGTTATTTTGTTCTTCAATCGTATATCTAGTTTTCCTGAAATTAAAACAATAGACATTTAAAATACTTGATTTTTATTTCATTGCAGAACTTACTTCCCTGTTAGAAGTAATTTAAACGTTAAAT